TGGGGCTTGTGCTTGGAGGACGGGGTCCGGTTGTCCTCACTGGTCACGCAGACGCTTCCTTGGTTGACGACTCAGCTACGCAGCGGTCGTCGTAGGGTTACACCTTCAGCCTTGGGTCCGGCTCGGTTTCTTAGCGTTCTACCCGCTCGTCCTCAGTTCTCAGCTCCAGCTGTGAGGCTGAGATCTACGCCGGAGCCATGGCTGCTCAGGAGCTACGCTGGCTCACCTACTTGCTGACCGACTTGGGAGAGCCGCCTCGTTCGCCTCCAGTCCTGTACGTAGACAACAAGGCCATGATAGCCTTGTGTCAAGAGCACAGACTGGAGCACGGAACGAAGCACATCGCTCTGCGATACTTCCTTGCTCGAGAGTTGCAGCAGCGTGGTCAGCTTCGTCTAGCGTACGTGGCCACTCGGGCCAACACTGCTGATGTCTTCACCAAGGCACTTCCGCCTGGTGACCATCAGCGCTTTGTTACTGTATTAGGCCTTGTGCCTACTTTGCCTCACTTACTGCCAGACTCTGCCTGTACTGTGATCTATCTATATACCTGCATGCTTGCACTTGCTAGGGTATGATCACTGTATTATTTGTTCTCTTTATATAACTCTGCATGTGAACTGGCCTTGTGGCCCTTTGCTTGTGCTCGGACTGTGTGGTGACTTTGTGATCCACCCTGAGCTTTGCTTTGCTTTGCTTCTTCTCTTGACTGGTCTTGTGACCATTGCTTGTTCTGGCTATCCCCCACTTCGCCTATGGGGGTGTGTCAAACATATGTGTTTATGTGTTTACAGTTGTCTAGGCTATAGAGGGTTTAGCCTTAGGGGGTACACAATTTCTCTCGACATTGTACTTGTACCCCTCCTTCCTTCCTAGTAAACCATTTTCTCGCTACTATCTAACACGCGCGTCGTCTTCGGAAACGACAAGTCACTACCAGTGGTCGGAATTGGGAGTACGCGTCTCATCGTCGATGGCGGACCGGTGGACATCACGAGTATGCTTCACGTCCCGGGGTTGAAGGTGAATCTCCTCTCCATCACTCAACTCGCGAAGAAGGGTGTGAAGATCACCATCGACGATGCGAAGATGAACCTCTTTTGGAAGGGGGAGCAATTCACGCAAGGTGTTCTCAAAGGAGAACTCTACCAACTCAAGACGCACCCGAGAGTGGCTTCATCCAACGTAGCGCACGGCTCCAAGGCGACTCTCAAGGTATGGCATAATCGGCTTGCGCACGCCAACTACGACTCGGTCAAGGAGTTGGCCAACAAAGGACTTGCGAAGGGATTCGACGTGGCCGTCGGCGACGAGGAGAAGGGCGTGTGCGCGGTGTGTGTTGAAGGAAAAATGGCTCGCAAGCCATTTGGTAGCCGTACCTCACCCCTCGCTAAGGACCTGCTTGCGCTTGTTCACATGGACGTGTGTGGACCGATGCGGCATGCATCAAAGGGAGGAGCGCGGTTCCTCTTGGTGATGCTTGACGACGCGACGCGGATGTGTTGGACCCGGCTCTTGAAGGTTAAGGGAGATGTGACCAAGGCGATTCAAGAGTGGGCGCTTGAAGTTTGCGACGACGACAAGAAGCGGATCAAGGCTATTCGCACCAACGGTGGCGGTGAATTCGTAAACGCGGAGCTTGAGAAATGGATGAAGAGCAAGGGCATTAAGCACGAAGTCACAACACCCTACACACCCCAACAAAATGGAGCGGCGGAGCGGCTTAATCGCACGTTGGTGGAAGCCATTCGTTCACTTCTTCAACACTCCAAGCTTGGGAGCGAGTTGTGGGGTGAGGCGAGTTCGTTAGCGCCGTGGATTTGCAACCATTTGCCGACAAAGGTGCTCCCAAGAATGACTCCGTTCGAAGCATGGACCGGCACGAAGCCGAACCTATCCCGCCTACGCACCTTTGGGTGCCTTTGCTACTACCATGTACTGGATCCCCTTCGCCACAAGTTGCAACCGAAAGCTCGTGCGACAATCTACTTGGGAATTGCGGCGAACGAGCGCGCGTGGCGAGTGTGGGACTCGGGTGAAAGGCGCGTCGTCACGTCTCGGGACGTGGTCTTCGACGAAGACAAGTTCCCGACGAAGGAACAACCAATGCCGCAACTCACCGTCGTTCTTCCCGCACGAGAGGAGGATGAAGCGATGGAGGTTCCATCACAAGTGGAAAAGGAAGCTGAAAATGGAGGGGGCGAGAACGAGGAGAGCAACGACGACGTCGTGGAGGTGCCACCAACCGCGGCGGCAACTTCCTCCATACCTTCCTCCCTACCAATGGTGTTGACCCGCGAGCGACGTACACTTCACCCCAACACGAAGTACACCGACTACGCTACGGTAGCCGTTGGGGAGTTGGACGAGGAGCGTGCGGCATTTTGCTTCACGACCAAGGGTGATGATGAATACGCGGATTCTCTCATGGAACCACCCCCTAAAGATCCATCCCGTGCATGCTACGGGCATGTTGGATTGAACACCTAGTGGTTTGGGTGCAAGGGGGAGTGTTGGAGGTTGCGTGAGGCAACTTTGCCCCCAACCACCGAAAGGTGTTGGCTTGGTGCTCACTTTCGAGTGAGCTGCAGGTTGGCGTGGGGTTGAAGGATTGACTTTGGAAGACCCATCAATTCGGTGCCACATCATAACACCAAAAACATTCGAGACTCAAGGAGAATTCGGTTTGGTGAAATTCGAGTGTCGAATTTCACCCCTTCGGAATGTTACTCGAACTTTCGAGAGTGTAGCGGTTCGAGGTTTCTTGTGCGACTCGATGTTTGTTGCATGCTATAAATCTGTTTGCTTTGTATTGCATGAATCATACTGAAATCGAGAATCACTTCGTACGTGATTCATTCGACTACAAAATCCAGAGAGCTCCTCTCCTTGATTCCAAGAGCACTACCTAGCACATAAACGCCTATATCTCGCTCGATACTTAGGCGATCGAGGTGATCTATGGCTCGTTGGAAAGCTTTCAGATTGCCCTATTGTTTAGTTCAAATCCCAGTTCCTTCCAACTAGAGGAGAGTCCTCTACAACAGTCGGAGCCAGGCCTGGCGAGGCGGGCAACTGACGCGCGTGCGGGCCCGCCAGCGTGGCCCAGGGCGGGGCTGAGCGCACGACCGCCGCCCCGCAACCCCCCTGCATGATTGAACAGCGCCCCACGTTACCGGGTGGGGGCGGCGAGCTGGCGAGCCCTCGCGCGAGGGAAAGTAACCCTCGCGCGAAGGCAGCCCTCCCGTGCCTGCTGCCCGCGACGTCCTAGTGACCCTCGCGACCTGCCCGGATGGGCAGGCGAGGGCCATGCGAAATTCGGGTGCTCCCCTCGGGACGCTCGACAATTTCGCGACCTGTTGCGGTGACGCCATGTGTTCGCACGCGGGTTCGCATCGGGTGCATGCGAAATTTCGAGCTCTACGAAATTGGATTGCTCGCATCGCGGCGCAGGGTTTTCGCGAACCGTTGCGAAGTCGACACGTGTTGGCTGAAACGTCGCACCGCGCGCATGCGAAATTGCGTCCCCTCACCGAGCGAAGCCAGGGGACGCGAAGTCGACGTGCTGGCTCGGCGGCGAAGAAGCACTTGTGTCACTTGTGCATGCAGCCCGCCAAACCCTATCGAGCCAGGCACCACGAACCCTGGGCGATGCCTCAACCGGCCTGTGGGGCACCGACTCCCTTTTCTTGGTGGAAGGAGGCATCGCTCCTCATTTTCGGCATCTCGTTTCTCTTTCAACATTACTCCCACATTCTCGTCCCTTAGCCTGTAGTCACTTCCCTTCCCCGCCATTGAGGCCGACCCGAAAGCCGGCGAAGCGGCGCCGACTTCGCAGGACTTCCCTCTGTATCTTGACCTCGGTAGTGGACTCACTGCCAAGCTCGAGGAACACGACTACGCCGTCCTCGTAGACCATAGGCTAGAGTTCAATGCCCGTTGCTTGGGATTCGGCCTCAAGTGAGTCTCCGTATGGGGATGTCAGCGTCGACCTCTACATACCTTGCTGGTCGACGTAGCGTCGGTGTTAGGGTTGTCCCACGTCTAGGGTGGCGCTACGAGTTTAGGGTTTAGTTCAGTTCACGTCGACGCCGACTTTAGGATTCAGGGTTATCTACAGTAGGTCGGTGTCGGCACATGGTTTAGGCCCGCATTGGTCGGCTCCATTGATTACAACATCGCGAGGGTGGTGCACCGTCGTACTATTACCATCCCCGTCAGTTGGCGGTTCCTACACCAACGTATCCACCGTCGTGTCGTACACCTCCTCACTCACTTCTAATACCCATTGCATGCGTGCAGGCACGGATGGACTCGCGCGGCGCCGGCCAACATGCGATTGTGGTCGATAGGACTCGGCCGGCTTCGGGCAGCGATGGGTCAGGCGGACCACACATGCTTTGCGACGGTTTTCGGCGCCGACATAGCGGTTATCCCCCTGACTTAGAGGTGAGCTGGTTCGAAGTTGTCATGATGTGTGTTGCATCCTATGATGATGCTCTGTTCTGAACGACGTAGTCGTGCCTTGCCTGTGCAGCATCGCACCACTTCCAGGAGCACATTGCAGCATCGTTGTCATCATGTACCCCGACGACTTGTTGAAGGCCGGGGGGGAGAAGATCAGGACCTCGATCCGGCACGTTGATCCGCAGACCGTGAAGCAGTGGCATCGCGACGAGGAGATCCGCGTGCTAAAGTGAGCTCGATAGTGTAGTCGACGACGCATGCAATTTCGCCGCGCAGCGTTAACCATGCTCACAGACAATCTGTGCCATCTTGCTTCAGGTTTTTCCGGGCGGCGGTACTGGCCGAGCTTGGGCGTGATGGTAGGAAGTGGGAGTGGGCGAAGCCTTCTGATGAAGAGGTGGAGGACAGGCTCGCCGACTGCGATCAACCCGTTCGAGATGTGAGTTCCGAACGATTTACCGTCCTATAGTGTGTCATCCTTGCGCGATGCGATTGCCGAACGCGGTGCTCATCCTTGCGCTCTGAACTGTTGTATGCAGAAAGTGCCCGACGCCGTCCGGGACGAGGACGCGGGCTCCGGCCTGCTAGCAATGAGCGCGTTGTGCTGGGTGGTGAGGAGGATGGATCTCCTGACCAGCGCCCTCCGTTGCAGTGTGACCAGCATGGACAAGGTCAACGTTTCGGGGTTGAAGGGGCTGCTGAATGGGATGATAACATTCGTCAAGGAGCACGTCGCTCTCAAACGGTCGGGCCATGTCGGAGTTGCTGCCGACGCTTGTGACGACGACGACAAGGAGGCCCCTTCGGCATCCCAAGCAGTAGGTGTCGCCCACACCGTCGATGATGCGCGTGGGACTTTGATCGGAGAGCCTGGAGGTGGCATCAACAAGGAAGATGAGGAGGCAGGAAGGGCGGTGACTGGGACCGCAGAGAAGCACCAGGACGAGGACGTCCATCAGGATGATAACGAGGATCAGGAAGAGGACCATGACAATCGTGAGGAGGAGGAGGAGGAGGAGGAGGAGGAGGAGGAGGAGGAGGAGGAGGAGGAGGAGGAGGAGGAGGGGGGCTCGGCGGAAGAGGAGGAGGACGAGGAGGAGATGGAGGTGGAGGAGGAGGAGGAGGAGGAGGAGGAGGAGGAGGAGGAGGAGGAGGAGGAGGAGGAGGAGGAGGAGGAGGAGGAGGAGGTGGTGGAGGAGGCAGAGAAGCAGTAAGAGGGGAAGCAGGAGGAAGAGGTCAAGTGGGAGTTGGAGGAAATTGAGGTGTAGTACTTAGAGGGAGCGGCGGAAACGGGTGGGAGGTCGGCGGATGTTGTGAACGAGGGAGGGGAGGACGCCGACGAGGAGAGAGTCGGCGTGGAGGCGGCTCGCGGGGGGAGTGAAAAGGTCATGGTCGGCGATGTGGTTGGCGACGCGAAGGAAGTTGTCGACCTCGAGGCCGTTGGAGAAGGGGATAACCCCGCGGCCGCGAAGCAAACGGGCGTGGACGGGCCTACCGAGACCACCGCAGGGAAGGCCGGGGGGAGCGGTCTAGGAAGAAGAAGGCGGTGCGCGGTCATCCCGGTTCCTCCGCATCTGGTCGGCAGGCACCGTTGGACGTCGTCGAGCAGCTGCGACAGGAGAACAGGCGGTTGACGGCAGAAAATGCCCGGAGAAGGCGCACGGAGAGGAAAGGGGTCGGGTGGACAGGTTTGCATTGGGGATACGTGGAATCCTCGACAAGCTCCAGTCGTTGGCCGACAAGGTCTCCGTCTCCGACCATAATGCGCCGAAACGGCTGCTAGATGCAACGTCGGCCGTGTTGACAACCATCGCGGACAACATCACCAGCTACATGGACAAATCGTGGAAGGCGATGAAGTCCTTCGCGGAACAGGCGTCGACGTGGTTGGCGGAAATCGACGGTCCAGAGGGAAGTATGGTAGTTGAACGCGCAAAAGCGGTCACCGCCTTGGCCAACCACGTGGAAGTGGTGGTGGACGATGCGAAGCTGGGTTTGGAGGACTACATCTCTAAGCACCTAGCCGCCGCGCAGACCAACATTGCCGCCGCGGTAACTCGCACCATCGCCGTGCCGCTGCCGCCGCCGCAGCCCACGCCAGCCTTCCCGGACGAGCTCATGAAGTCGTTCAAGGCGGACGTGTTGAAGGTGGTGACGGAGGCCACCCACCAGTCGTTTGTTGCGTCCGGGTTAAAGCTCATAACCGAGGTAATCGGCAATGTGGCGCCTGGTCGGCGTGGGTCGTCGCCGTCGGCCAATGACGCCGACCCCGCGCAACGAAGGGAGGCCGACAAGCAGGGCCAGAAAAGGGCGGGCGGCGGAGATGATGCGGGGAGCATGAAGCAGAGCAAGGGAGCCGATGGGAGCCGCGGTGTCGGCGCGGTGGGTCCAGGCGGCTCGCGGACTCGAGGTGAGAGCGTGGTCGACCAGCTCAAGAAGAACGGGGCCAAGGTGATAAGGTCGCACAGCAAGGGTGATGGAATCGGGAGTGCAGATGGGGGCCATGCCGACGAGGTTGCCGCGCAAGACGCTGGACCATCAGCCTCGCCCCTGGTTGCTGAGAAGCCCCATGGTCTGGCGAGCGGCGGGAAAGGCTTGAGCGACAAGGAGATCCCAACCACTCAAACGGCGATAGATGGCGGCGCCAGAACCGTCAAGGGACCGTCTGTCAGGGTGGCGGGGACCACGTCGATTCCCCGTAAACCCCCTGTGGCTAGCAGCACGCCGGTCAGCCCGTCAGCCGCCAACAACAATGGGCCGGCCCTTGCCGCTACTCCAGCTCCAGCAGGCCCGTCTGCCGCCAAGGGCGACACGAAGGATGCTGCGGCTAACTGTCAAAGTGCCCGCAGCGGCGAACGCGCTCAGGGAAATGCTTCACCGCATGGAGGCCCATCGCAAGGACGTGCAGTAGCCTCCCTTGGTCGATGCCGCCCCCCGCCGAAACAGCACGTCGCTCTGTCACTCCGCAGGTCGCCGCCACAACGCCCAGTGCCCCACCTACCGCGCCTCTGGTCGCCGCCCGTCCTCCTGCGGACCCAAAGTCCGCATTGCTTCGCGCCCGGTTAGGCGCACGTAGTGCGCCGGCGCCAACACGGACTCAGCCGGAAGCAGGCTCAAGCGCGACGCCGACGTCGGTAAACGAGGCGGCGGAGAAGGGCGTGAGGGCAGCGCTAGCCACCGGCGGCGGGGCCGTTGATCTTGCACGGGCGTCGAAAGGCCACAACGACACCGACATAGCTGCCATCCAGAACCTGTTGGAAGCGGTAAAACGCCCCAGGCACCCCCCTGCTTTGGCCATCTTGGACACGACGCATGTGGAGCCCTCGGCGAGTCCCCCCGGTGGTTCAGCGGAGCCAAAGACAACCACTGATGCTGTCGGCGAGGGAGAGTCGAAACGGAAGGGGAAGGCCAACACATGGAAAGGGAGGGCGAGCTCTCAGAGGAAAACACGGGCGATGACGGCCGAGACAGGGAGGGAGAAGGCAAAGGAGAATTCGGTGGAGAAAGGGAAGGAGAAGGCGGAGGAGAATCAGGAGGAGAAGTCGGTTGGCGAGGGTACGTCGGTGAAGAAAGGGAAGGAGAAGGCGGCGGAGAAGGAGAAGGAGAAGGAGAAGGCGGTGGAGAAGGAGAAGGAGAAGAAGAAGGAGAAGGAGAAGGAAAAGGAGGAGAAGGAGAAGGAGAAAGGACGGAAGGGTCATGGCATTCGCCACGACAACTCGGGCGACGGTCTAGGGTGGGTGGGCGAGATTAAGGTGCTCGGCGCTAATCGATACATCGGCAAGTCGCACGACAAGATGGAGCCGGCGTACCTGCACTCGATTGCGTACATCGTCTACGACGGTTACGTCAGCAAGGTCCTCATGGCCGAGCTCACCGACTTGGAGGAAACCGAGTTGGAGAAGTGGAGGAAGGTGTGGGAGGAGGTCAAGATTTTGCCGACAGGGATGTGGACGGTGATATGGGCACGAGGCGCGTACCTTCCAAAAACACGATAAGTCGGACACCCTTCGGCCGATGTCGGAGTCACTAATGGTCGCCCGGTTTCATGTGATTGCGTGATAGGTTCGATGACATTCTCGGAAAGTATCGAGCGTACAAGAGCTCAGGCAATGCGCACCACGACGGGTGTGAGAATAGTAGGCGAGAATGATTGACTAGGAAAAGGGAAGGGGTACAAGTAGAATGTCGAGAGAAATATGTACCCCCTAAGGCTAAACCCACTATAGCCTAGACAACTATAAACACATAAACTAAGCCTAGATATAACTAAGCATATATGTTTGACACACCCCCATAGGCGAAGTGGGGGATAGCCAGAACAAGCAATGGTCACAAGACCAGTCAAGAGAAGAAGCAAAGCAAAGCAAGCTCAGGGTGGATCACAAAGTCACCACACAGTCCGAGCACAAGCAAAGGGCCACAAGGCCAGTTCACATGAAGAGTTATATAAAGAGAACAAACAATACAGTGATCATACCCTAACAAGTGCAAGCATGCAGGTATATAGATAGATCACAGTACAGGCAGAGTCAGGCAGTAAGTAAGTGAGGCAAAGTAGGCACAAGGCCTAACACAGTAACAAAGCGCTGATGGTCACCAGGCGGAAGTGCCTTGGTGAAGACATCAGCAGTGTTGGCCCGAGTGGCCATGTACGCTAGACGAAGCTGACCACGCTGCTGCAACTCTCGAGCAAGGAAGTATCTCAGAGCGATGTGCTTCGTTCTGTGCTCAAGTCTGCGCTCCTGACACAAGGCTATCATGGCCTTGTTGTCTACGTACAGGACTGGAGGCGAATGAGGCTGCTCTCCCAGGTCGGTCAGCAAAAAGGTGAGCCAGCGTAGCTCCTGAGAAGCCATGGCTCCGGCGTAGATCTCAGCCTCACAGCTGGAGCTGAGAACTGAAGACGAGCGGGTAGACCGCCAGGAAACCGAGCCGGACCCAAGGCTGAAGGTGTAACCCTGCGACGATCGCTGCGTAGCTGAGTCGTCAACCCAGGAGGCGTCTGCGTGACCAGTGAGGACAACAGGACCCCGTCCTCCAAGCACAAGCCCCATGCCCGACGTACTGCACAGGTAACGCAGTACCCTCTTCACAGCATCCCAGTGCACCTTTCGGTGCCTACCGGGAGCCACGTAGCGAGCCAGAAGGCTGAGAGGGTACGCGAGGTCAGGTCGTGTGCAAGTCATCAGGTACATGAGGCAACCCACAAGCTCTGGGTATGGACCACTCGGCTCTACGGACTCGTCCGAAGGTGGAGCTGAGAGAGAGTGGCTGGTAGACAGAGGAGTGAGCTGTGGCGAGGAGTACTGGAAGCCGAAGCGCTGAAGGACCTGGTGCACCATGTGTGACTGAGTCGGTGTGATGGTGCGCCGTGCTCTGTCCCGGGTGAACTGCAGGCCAAGATAGCTGCACAGTTCACCCAGGTCAGTGCAGGTATGTCTCTTCTGCAGCTCGGACTTCACAAGGGTCAGTGCCTCAGTGTCAGCCGTGGCAAAGACGAGGTCGTCGACGTACACTAGGACGTAGAAGGGCGGCAGCGAGGTGTCGGTGCGTAGAAACAGCGACGGGTCTGCTGTAGAAGGAACAAACCCAAGAGCCGCAAGTGTAGTCCTGAGTGTATCGTGCCACTCGAGAGGCGCCTGGCGGAGACCGTAGACTGCCCGGCCGAGGCTCCACTGGGTACCTGCAGGAAACGTCCCAGTGAAACCAGGTGGTCGGCGCAGCCAGATCTCCTCGTGCAGGCTGCCCTGCAGGAAGGCTGTACTGAAGTCCAGGGAGTGTAACTCGTAGTCACGCTGAGCAGCTACGTGCAGCAACACCCGAAGAGTAGTCATCTTTGGGGTGGGGGAGAAGGTCTGGAAGTAGTCAACTCCCTGTCGCTGACTGAAACCTCGAGCAACGTAACGCGCCTTGAAGGCAGGCGGAGAACCCGGCGGCCGCTTCATCCTGAAGATCCACATGCCATCGACTATGTTCACCCCAGGTGGGGGAACCTCGTCGACGTAAGTGCCTGTGGACTTCCAGGATGCCATCTCGGCATCCATAGCTGCCTGCCACTGAGAGGAGTAAGGACCCGTAATCGCCTCTGCGTAAGAGCGCGGGGACGGGATGTCTGGAGCATCCGGGTCTCCCTCATAGGCAAGTAGCAAGGAAGCGAAACGAGGTACAGCAGCTGCAAGACACTCAAAGTCCTCCTGCCTGTCCTCAAGGACGTCCGTACCAAGAGCACACTCACCCCCGACGGACGGAGGACTGGCAGGCACAGACTGAGCAACTAGAGCAGAGGCGTAGTCGAGACGACAGGCAGCAGCAAAGTCAAGTAGCTCAGCAACGAGAGCAGAAGCAGCAGCAGACTCAAAGGACGGGTCAGTCACAGCAGTGGCAAGGAGACGAGCGACAGTGGGACTGGCAGCACGCGCTCGGTCAGACTCAGGGTCAGGGACCTCAGGAAGAGAGGACTCAGGAGGAGCAGGCAGAGGAACACGCAGTGGAACAGAGGAAGGACGGAGTGCCATGGTGTGTGTGCCTGGGACAGGAGGAGGACACGAACGAGGAGCGCGAGGAGCAGTGCAAACAGGCGAGACAGGACGAGACGTAGGCTCACGATGCTCTGTAAGACCTCCGGACTGCTCAGTGTAAGGAGAGGGAACAGGCAGTGGGGAGGCTGGCTGTAACGGCGGCTGCGACTGGTCAGGCGGTGGACACAGGAAGGGAGGAGGAAGACCAGTAGAAGACGGGACACCAAGAACCTGCTGAAGCAGGGGAACGAAGTACGGGCGCGGTCGCACAGTGCCTCCAGCACCTCCAGCTCCAGGGTCAACAGCTCCAGCTCTTGCAGCTCCAGCGCCTCCTGCGCCAGGGCCTCCAACTCCAGCTACACCAGCTCCAGCGCCTCTGGCGCCAGCTGCTCCAGGCTCCGTAGGGTCTCCAGCTCCAGTAGTAACAGCAGCACCTCCAGCTCCAGTGTCTCCAGGCTCGCCAGCCCCAGGAGGTCCACTCCGACGGTGTGGGCGCTGAACAAGCCACTCACGTAGCTGCTGCGAGGACAGTCGCGGTGAAGCACCAGCAGGACCTCCAGACGAAGCAGCACCCTGAGGCTCAGCACCCCCAGACTCCGCACCCTCCGACTCAGCACCCCCAGGCTCCGCACCCTCCGACTCAGCACCCCCAGGCTCAACACCCTCAGGCTCAGCACCCCCAGACCCAGCACCCTCAGACCCCGCACCCTCCGGCTCCGCACCCCCAGACGCAGCACCCCCAGACGCAGCACCCCCAGACGCAGCAACCCCAGACGCAGCACCTGGAGCAGCACCTGAACAGGCGCAGTACCAGGGAGAGGGTCTACCTGAGACACTCCCGAGGGAGCAGGACCCTGGGGCGGAAGGGGGTCTACCGGAGGTGGACCGGGAGCAAGGAAGAGCGGCGGGGGCGGGGAAGGGGCAGAGCGGTAGGGGAAGAGCCGGTAGAAGGGAACTGACTCGTCGAACGTGACGTCCTGAGAAGGGAGGACACGGCGCGAGGTGGGGTGGTAAAACTGCCAGCCAGGCGCGTCAGGGACAAATCCAAGGAAGACGCAGGGAATGGCGCGGGCGGAGAGCTTGTCCGCGGACGTATCGCGAACAAAGGCACGAGAACCCCAGACCCGGAACACCGACGCATCGCCAACCTTCCCCGTCCAACGCAGTGTGGGCGAGGTCTCCGGCAAGGAGACACGGGGCCAGAGGTTGAGCTGATGCGCAGCGTACCGGACCGCAAACGGCCACAGAAAATGGGGAGCGGCCGCATGAATCATGGAGGTACGAGCGACCTCCATGACTAAGCCAATGCGGCGCTCAGCAATCCCATTTTGTTAAGGGGAGTCCGGAAGCGTGAACGACTGGAGAATGCCCTCCCCACGACAAAAGTCCCGCAAGAGGTCGGAGGAGAACTCACCACCTCTGTCAGAGTGCAAACGCAGGACAGGAAGGTCCTGGCCGAACCGCTCGCGCAGCTGGAGACGGACTGTGCGGATCCAAGGGATCAAGACAGCAGAGACTTCACCCTTGCTGCGCAAGGGGAAGACTGTG